ACGCGGCTTGGCTGTTTCCCGAGTAGCTCGGAATGCGGAATAGCCGCATTGGATGAGATTTTTACCAAGCAGTGCGTTGAAATCATCTACGTCTACCGGCACGGTTGACTCCTACTTCATGGCTTGACCTGTCGGATAACAAGAAACAAAGATATCCAATTAGAATCACGGTAAAAGCTGCCATATTGCTAAAGTCAGCCTTGGGTTGAATGCGACGTAAGCTATCGGATGTGTGGTTCATGAGTCGTCGTGTTCGTCCCATCCGCGCCTCCTTTAATGTTCTATGCGGGAGGGGCATTTCCTTCTAGAACCCGGTCAGGGAGGTCTCGCGAGGTCCGTAGAGACTTTGACATACACGCAAACGCGTCAGTGATAGGACTTCCGGTGGGACAATCCGGGCCAGAGCCTCGGTGTCAGTAGGGGTAGGGAGGCGGCCCGGTAGGCTGAGTCGGACGAAGCGGGTATTGTGGGCCTGTTCTCCCACCTCCCGAGCGCAACATCACCCACGTTCCGGGCAGAAAACTTGCCCTCTTTCCCCTTGGATCCCGGGGATGTACGGATCATTCACGTAGCTTTCTCATGCTAAGCTACGACCACACTCTATTCCTGGAACGATGGGCGCAAAATCCCGTAGACCAGATGAGCCTGTTCAACCAGATTCAAGGGATTACGAATATGGATCCTGGTTCTCCGACCTACATCCACTCTATCGGGACGGCCTAGTCGAGGCGCAGAGTAGTCGTAATGGGAGCTCATGCGAAAAGGGATGCCAAGTTGTGGGTAACGAGAAAATCATGATGAAGTTCAGAGTGAAGACACACATATAAAGCAAAGCTGCTATTACCGCAATAGAGGAGATTCTAAATCGTCAGAAGCAGCAACAAAACCTCATCCAGACCTTCACTAAGACTACTTTCCAAGCTTTTCCGCTCAATTACATCGAGATCTCTCTCCTTCTCTCTCTCTAACCACGTCTTGGCTTTGACTTACACACATCATATACGACAAGATGAAGTTTACTACTCTCGCTCTCGCTGCTCTCTCTTTGGCCGCCACCGAGGTCATTGCTCACCCTGAGAAGCTGACCAAGGAGAACGCAAAGAAAGAGGCAGCTCTTGCTGGTCGTTCAACCAACAAGTGCGCTGCTGCAATCAAGAAGCGCAAGGCTGAAATCATTGCCAAGCGCTCTCAGCGCCTCTATGAGCGCCGCGTCGAGAATGGCGACATTCTTCCAAACGTCCACGGCATGTCTAAGCGCAACACCCTTCAATACACCAGCATCCAGAACAACACCTGTCTCCTGGCCCCCGAAACTATTTTTGGTCCCTACGGCGTGGACGGCGAGTTGGTCCGTCACGACCTCCGCGAAACTCAGTCCGGCATTGATTTCTATCTCGACATAGGAATCATTGATGTCGAGACCTGCGAGCCGCTCGAGGGTGCCTCGGCCTCTATCTGGGCCTGCAATGCGACTGGCTCATATGCTTCCTTCACTGGCATTGACCCCGACACCTCTGAGTTGCTTGATGGCTGGAGCAAGCGATCTGATGGCACTACCGACGATGAGACTTTCCTCCGCGGCATTCAGGTCTCCGATGAGGCTGGTATGATCGAGTTTCTTACCAAGTTTCCCGGCTACTACACTTCTCGCTCTACTCACATCCACGTGGCTGTTCAAGCCAACGCCTCCGACGGTGTTGGTTTCAGCCAGAGCGCACTTCAGCACGTCGGACAGCTCTTCTTCGAGGAAGACCTCCTTTCCCAGGTCTACGCCGTTAGCCCCTACTCCGCCCACCTCGAGACCTTGAACCGCACCACCAATGCCGAGGACTCTGTCCTGTCCAGCGCTAGCGAGGACGGCTATAGCCCCTTCATCAGCGTCTCTCTTCTTGGAGACACCGTTGAGGACGGTCTCGTTGGCTACATCACTATCGGTGTCAACTCTACCGGTGACAGCATCGCTACCACTGGCACCGATGTGAACCCTCAAGGCTGGATCCCCACTGTTTCTGTGGGAACAGAAAAGATGGCGCAGGCTACTGCCGCTGACCGTGCTGCCGGTTACACTTCTTAAGCGAACAGTAACATTCGGATTCGCCGTTGTTGATCATGGAGCATTGCATGGCGGGATAGGAAAATGGTAGCATAGCATGGCGTTTTAACATAGATGGTTGTTTGCAATAGATTCATTTCATTCCACACACTCTCCATTACTTCCTTCTTAAAGCAGATTGAGTGGACTTTCAAATGTGCAAGTGATTCATGGAAACCAGGAGTATGGTTCTCGGATCATTCCCCAGATCATATGAGGACGATGCTCCCCAAATTTGGACAAGTCAGCGCGGTGTACTTCGATATCATCAAAGCCGACTTTTTGGTAAAGAGAGTGGCCAGCCTCTGTTGCCTCAAGATATATCGGAACTTCTAATCGGAGTGATTCCTGGATCCCGAAGGCCAGGAGATGTTGCCCCACGCCGCGGTGTTGATACAGGGGTTCTGTCACTAAGATATGAAGGTCTGCCATCACTTAGCATTAGGGAAGCTAGTCCTTTTCAGACTTGACGATTTGGAAAGACGACTCACAAACGCACGGCTTGTAGGCCATTAGACGGTCTCTCATTAAGCCCACGCCTCCAAACACCAAGCTGCAAGCCTCCTCATTGCAACTTTGGCCCCAAGAATGCAGTTTCCCTGTGCTCAAAGGCATGCCATGTTCGTAGACATGCCATTTGGCAAACCCAACGATTGCGCAATCACCTCTTCGCTCAGTGTCTACTGCCACGAACATTCGAACGGTCGGGTCGTCTCGAAGCTGCCTGATCAAGTCGGTGGTACGAAGCCCTAAGAACCCATCTTTCGGGACGTGACCGGGAAACATAATTTTAGTGAAAGGGCTTTTGCCAAAAGCTACGTGTCCGACCTCTGCGCATCGCTTGAGGTCGCTCTCGAGCGCAGTTCGAATCTCTATAGGCATGATCATAAGATGTTGTCGGTGATGATACAGGACTGGGCGAGTTTACGAGCTCATCAGTGTAAGTGGGATACCGAGGAACTAAAGCACCATCGCCCACAATCATGACGTTGAAGAATTTGTGGAGTAAGCGAACTCAATGATGCACGCCAGCATATCTTTTGTGGACGCAAGACAAAGTTGAGAAATCATGAATCTGTGCACACAACAGAGTTTAGACGGAGCCTGGAATGTGCACTTCCCGAAAAGGAAGCGCCGTTTGGCCAGCGAACGATTGGGGTGGCGAAGGCATAGCTCAATTTGATTGAGTTTATCTGCGGCTTCGGCTGCATTGCCATCAGACGAAAGGACATTAGGAATGGCATGTGGGACGTATGGGCGGTCTCAGACTTTGCTCATCTATGTCAGTTGAACTTTCCTCAGCGTTTCAGGCTTTTCTAAGTTCTTTTAGTGCCTACTAAGTACTATCATGTTCCCCAGACCGGATGTTGAAGATTAGTTCCTACGGCGACGCGGCGCTCGACATATGGCCTCTTGTTATTCCTGCCATCGAGATATTCATGCCTCGAACTTAATGATCAAACTTCCGCGACGGCGTAATTGGCACGAGCGAGACAAGTTGATTTGATAGGCCGATAGCCTCTATTATATTAGTATCTGTTTATTTTCGTTATTCATAAATCTCTACTTCCACGCGGACAGAGCCTTCTTGGTCTCAGACTTGAGGTCTTCCTCCTGCAGACCCAACAACTTAACAGCCGCATTGTCCTTTGTGGCATTATCGTTGCCATCAGCAAAGCTGTACTGCTGCAACAAGTCGATAAAGGCGCTGAAGTCACCCTTGGACAGCTTCTCATCCGCAATCTTCTCCAGGTCGGCAGTCTTGACGTTGCTGACGGTGAAAGTAGAGCCAGTCAACTCCTCAACAACCTTGAGCAACTCGCGTTGAGTAGTCGTGAATGAAGCAACGTCAATATACTTGTTGGCTGTCGCCTCGGTGTTCTTGAGCACGCCAGCAACGGATTTTCCGATAAAGGGAAGAGATGATGGCGAAACAGGCTCGTTTCCAGAGTCAAAGATTCTGATAGCCTTGTTCTTGATATCGAAGCCCAGAAGGCCACCGCTAAAGTCCTATGCTCGATCAGCACGCTGACTACATGTAAAGATGGGAGAAGGTGGTAATTAGCTTACCCAATCGAAGAAGGGTCCAGTAGAGATACCAGTCCACGTGAATGAGCTGTTCTTCTCAGAGAGCTCAATCAAATAGTCAACAAACTCAATCTTGGGAGTCAAGATGCCGCCAATCTTAGAGCCGCGGGCCTTGCGAGTGTTGATTCCGAATTCTGATGGGATGAAGCGCTTAACTTGAGCGGCAACAGCAGCGTCGGCGAGTGTCTTTTGACTTCCGAATCCCGCATTTCCGACGACAGACACGACGGCGTCCTGGCCCTTGAAAACTTCTGTGACAGCTTCGACTGAGGAGAGATCGATCTTCTTAACAGTGGCCTCGGAGGGGAATGTTGCGCTGGACTCCTTTCTCGAGACTGCTGTGACTTCAAACCCGGCGTCAATGAGGCCACGGACGATGCTGGGGCCAAGGTTTCCGGAACCCTAGTGGAATTAGTGTCGGAACGTTAAGTGACATGATAGGTGAACTTACTCCGACAACAGCGACCTTCTTAACGACAGACATGTTGAGACTCTTGGACTTGGTTGAAGACTGTGTTGGAGTTTGGAGTTGAAGAATTGGAGAGTGAGAGTTGTTTTACGGGTTGTTATCTTCTCAGCTGCGAGTGACTTCAATTTCACCTCTATACTTGGAGGTTGGGCGCAACCTGCTTATATGCTTTGCTGGTGGACAGCTGTCTCCAAGCTTCACCCCGCCTCCACCGAGCTATCGCGCAATAACTGGAGATCTCGCACGATTGTGTATGCATCACGCAAGATCCACCACGGTTTCGCACTCAGTATTATCAATCAGCATCTCTGCCGTCTGGTGTAACGGCCCCCTCCCGGCGAGCGGGCATTGCTAAGGCGCCGACCTGACCCCTCTATGTCCCGGCGCTCCCACCGCGTCTTCTCGGTAACAAAGTGCTTCCGGACTCATTTTGCTTCCGAAGAACAGTGGTGGCTTTGTGTGCAACACTAATAAAGAAGGTTCCGGCTGCCGAGTGATGAGGCGATCCATTTAGACTCGGCACGGTACCCTCCTCTCGGCAGCTAAATGTCTTGGGTTTGCCGCTAAGTTTATCGGGCAATAGCAGCATGGTATTTCAAAGGCGCACGCATGGGCCGGGACAAAGGCGGACACGGATATTTTGACTAGCAATTGAAGTTTGAACAAGTCGCTTCTCCGATCCCACACCGGAACAATGCTGATAGTCTTTTTGGACACATGTGCAAAATACGATTGAGAGCTTCTAGCAGAAACGATATGCATTCGTAACGAGTCCATATTACACATCAGAGAACAGCAAGCTACCCTGAACGAAGTCTGGGTACCTACACGACTCGTGCACAATCCATACAGCGGCAGTATCCCACCGGTCTTTTTACTGAGCCATTATATCCGAAAATGATTATAAAGCCACCTGGCGCAAAAGCAGTGTTCTGATTTCCTATCCCTAACTCAAAGAACAAGATTTCTACTGAAGACTAAGAAGGGGACTTTGTCGCCGATGGAAACATGTTTTCACTCTCTGAGCTGCCTTTCAAAATTGCATGGGGCTCAACGTCAGGCGGTTCCGTTGTCTGAAAAACAAGAGGCCTTTTCCCCCACCAAAAACTAATACATATCCAGACTGACTTCGAAGGTTATTCCTGCTCCATGCTTCATATTCCACCTACCCGGATCAAACCTGCGCCCCTATACCCTTTCTGACTCTCCCACTGAAGGGAAGAGATTTGACGTGGCTGCGAAAGATATGTGATGCTCAGCCCTCTCAGCTCAACTGCTCAGAGGTATGCTAGGAAATGAAGCCCATGCCGTGCACCTCCAGCAGCTCAGAAGAATTGCGTGTTTGCGGAGACCGTCTTGGGCCTGGGCCGCATTCCAGAGCAGAGGGGTCCAAACCACGTGTCGAGATTTAGGAGAAGAAACGAGGAATGTGGGCTGGAACTCAGTAAGACCTGGGTTCAAGATATGCAAGCCCTGTATGGCCCAAGCCCCTGGGGAGCGAAGTTGGCATTCTGTAGACATGGTCGAAATGCAGGTTCATGTTGTGAAGTGTAAACAATGCAGCAAAGATGCCGGTTAACGACCATCGCTATAAATGGAGACGTTGATGCCGCCATCAACGACGTTGTCACTTGTGGACCCTAAGCAAGGCAGAGGCCAGATCCACGTCTATCAGCCGCGCCGGCTATCATACAGTCTTTACCGCCCGAACAATGTCGCTCTTCAGCACACGTACGCTCGTTACCGCCCTTTTGTTGGCACAGTCATTCGCTTTACCCGCCCCGGAATCCAAGCCAGTCCAGCTCGAAGAAAGAAACATCTGCAACGACGGCGAGCTTGCTGCCAAGAATCCGCGCGCAGCTTTCTTCCGCAAGGTCGTGGATGAGTCAAACTATAGCAACCATAGTAGAGTACCGACGCCGAAGGATGTTCCCCTAAAGGTCGGCATCATTGGCGGTGGAGCTGCCGGACTCTACGCTGCCATTCTACTTGACTCCCTCGGAATTGACTACGACATTCATGAGGTCTCTGGACGCATTGGCGGGAGAATCTTCACCTACCATTTTGATCAAGAGGCTTGGGACAAGTCCACACCCGTAGACCCTGCCTACTATGATTACTACGTGAGTTGTTGTCGCTAAACAGCGCACCATTCCCTAGCTAACATGATCACTGCAGGACGTCGGCGCCATGCGCTTCCCTCCGATGCCTTACATGAGCCGCATCATTGGAAACGACTCATGGAGTCTTATCCCCTACATCAATGCGAGGGTAGCTGAACGCGACCAGGTTGTTAAGAAACACTACATCTTCAGAACGGACAACACGTTCAGACGATTCAATGGCATCACCTCTCTTCTCCAAGACCCGAACTCTGCCTCCCCTGCTAGGTACGACGTTCCGGTATTCAACTCGACCTTTAACACGCAGTCTGCGTACAATGTGTGGAAGGCTCAAGTCAGCAGCATGACGACAGCGCTCTCAGCCAATTTTGACACAGGTTTCAACCTCCTCATGAAGTATGATTCCATGACGGTCCGAGAGTTCCTCTTGGACCAGGGCTTTACCAACACCGAGATCGACTGGATGGAGACCATCAACGATGCCACAGGTCACTACGATATGTACTCCATGTCTCAAGCCGTCCTAGAGCAGTGGATTTTTGACAGTGCAGATATTGACAACTGGTCGCTGATCAACGGCGGTATGGACATGTTGACCAAGGGCATGAACCTCATTGTGAAGAACAAGCCCGTTCTGCACAACAGGGTTTCCGACATTAAGAAGAATGCCAATGGCTCCTTGAAGATTGTCGTCAACGGCACCAAGGAGTACGACTACGCTCATGTCATCTCAACTGTTCCGTTGGGCGCCCTCCAGGCTATCAACATGACCGAGCTAGAGCTCAACTATTTTGAAAACCATGCCATCCGCTCTCTCAAGTAAGTCCACTTACCTTCTACTTCAGCCGGGTTTCTTCCAAACCCAAGCTAACTTCGTACTGAAGCTACGATCCGTCGACAAAGATTGGATTCAAGTTCAAGACTCGCTGGTAAGCTGTTTTCCGGCCATAGCATCAAACTTGGGGGTTTAACTAACTCGCTCATTCCAGGTGGGAAAACCTCGCCACCGGTCCTTTCAAGGGCGGTCAATCCTTCACCGATCTTCCTATCCGCCGCTGTGTCTACCCCTCTTACGGCGTCGATGTCCCGGGTGCCCCGGGAACCATGATCGCCAGCTACGTCTGGGGCCAGGATGCCTCCAGACTAGGCTCCTACATGAACCCGCACAATGAGAAACAACAGGCACCTTATCAGCCAGAGAGCATCGACGTCATGGTCGACTTGACTCTGAGGAACCTGGCAGAGCTCAACGGCGTGTCTCACGAGTTTCTCCTGTCGCAATTTGAGGGATACCACGCCTACGACTGGTACGGATCGGCTTATTCCAACGGCGCCTTTGCCATCTTCGGCCCGGGGCAGTTCAGCAGCACGCTGCCGTGGTTGATGAGGCCTTCTGCTGATGGCCACATGCACTTCGCGGGCGAGGCGCTGAGTTCGGGCCACGCTTGGATCATCGGTGCGGTCAACAGCGCCTGGAGAACTGTGTTTGAGATTCTTTGCACTGAAGGTCTGGAGGACAAGAAGAAGCAGTTCGTTGAGCAGTGGGGTGTTATTGATGAGGTTGACATGGGCTGGTATGACTGGTCTCCAGAGGGGTTTCCATGAGGGCAATAGAATCTCGGCTCTAGGCACGGGGTTGCGGGGTGCATGGTGCAGCAACGAAGCCAGCTAAAGGTTGCGCGCATCTGTCTTCAACCAAGTATCCGTATTTCATTGTCTACTTTTACTACCAAACTCAACAAGATATACGTAATGTTAATTCTACAATCACGCAGATATCCGTAAGGCCATCTGTGTTCTACCGCAATGCGCGTTCACTGTTTGCGAAAATTGTTTTTGGTGTTTACGGGCTTCGTACAATTACTGGGATGTTGTCCCCTGCCTTGATCTCTGAAGCTACACCAAACTACACGGACCAATCTGAGAGCCGCTCGTAGGAGCCGTCATTATGAGCCATCTCGACTCATCCACACTTCCTAATCTAGCTCACCGATTCCCCACCCAACCAGCTCCCTTTCTGATTTGAATCTCTCCGTCACTCGTTTCCACGTGCCGACGCTTGACAACATCGTATAGTACAGAGAGACTTGAATTCCCTGGATTGTCTCGAGACGTAAGTCAAACCAATCTTTTGTCAAAGCAATTCTGCCTCTCATTCAAAGAGAGGCCCAATAATCTGACTCCATGGCAACACTACAATCATCCCCATTTCCTACGTGCAGCTGGACTCGACCAGTATTCTACCGAGAACAGCAGCCAAAGGAGCCGGAACCACCTTGGGGAGCTTACCTGGTGGGATTCTCATCAGGCAATGGGCCCTATGTTTGGGTGGCAGGGCATCACGACAGACTCAGGGGATGGATCTCAACTTCCAGACTACCAAATCCCTCTCGATCCGCAACTTGAAGCCGATGAGTTGCCTCGAGCAAGTAGTCAGGACGACAGCATCGCTGCGCTGGGGGCGTTGCATACAGGTCGGGAAGATGTCTTTCTGGGTATGCTTGGTAGCATCGAGCCTTCCCAATCACCAGGACCGCATGGTACGTTCAAGTGGTGTTGATTCACCTAGCCATCTTCTTACTGATATCCATCTCAGACTGCCAACCATCTCAAACAGCCACTCATAGAAGCCCACCGGAAAGCATTCCAATCACCTTGGATAATCCCGAGTCCATCTTCTCCTCGACCTTTTATTCGAGGAGGACCACTTCCGATCCTCTGCCTTCACAGCCCTCAGCCCCCGCAACTCAGCGCCGCGGTCACTCCGCATCTGGCACCAAACGCAAAGCCAACGGATCTCCAACCACTGACCTCGACTCGATCGATGAAGATAACGCTAATGCTATCAAAAGACAGCGCAATACTGTCGCAGCTCGAAGATATCGTCAAAAAGGCCGTGACCGCATAACGGAGCTAGAATCTGCTCTCAAAGTTGTCGAGGAGGAGCGTGACAGACTGAAGCTGCAGCTCGCGAGAAGGGAGGCCGAGGTTGACGCGTTGAGAGAAATAATGAAGAAGTAGGGTGTTACTGTCTTCCACCAGAAAATCGTACCATGTGTTAGTACGAAACCCTCATTCCTATCATTCGTCGCGGGCTGGCATGAGAAACAACATCGCTCCCAAAGTGTTTGATAATATTGCATCTGATGCATTACTCCAATTTCGATTTGGAATCCAGTGCGCGCATCGTGGTGATTAAGTCCTGAGGCGGTTGTTCAGGCTGCCTCTCTAGATGTATCATTACATCAACAACGCTATGATTTTCCTTTTTGTCCCAGTTCACCACCGCCCCAACAACACCCCATGGGAATTGCCGAATCGAGTTCTGTTGAAGAGACGCAGTTCTGTCAGAATAGCGCATGAAAGAATAAAACCCGATGGATGCGCCGACATTTGAGGGTGCTGGTGTGACTTTACAGCGCCACCTTTGCTCTGGAGATTGAGATTCTGGCCTTGAATCCTTTCCATACAAGACAGCAAACTGTAACACTCGCCGTTGTCCTTTCAATTCCTCTAATTCGATCACGAAAGCCCAGATTGGATCGCACATAAATGCGACTGCTCTTCTAAACTCCCCCGGTTTCGTCTGGAAGGCGTACGCATCCCCTTTCATCTCCATTTTCAGAGGGGGGTACGCAGTAAGAACGGTCGCAGACACAGCCTCATTCCGCCTGTCAAATCGCAGCCGGGATTTCTCGGCCTTTAGATTCCAGGACTCTGCTAGAGATTCGACGTAGTACGCTGGAGTTGCCCGGAGATAGAACGTTGTCGATTGAAATATCTCTAGCATCGCAAAGGGGACCGCATAGAGTCGATCTGTATCGCGCCGATACGCCTTAGCCGCGCAATTTGTATACTTATCTTCGTCTGAAAGCATGATACAGAGACAATATATGCCGTTCGGTAAATGAATGTTCAAATCAGTCCACGCAAGCCAAGTGTTTGGATGTGGGTTCAATCCCCTGTTCGTGAACATGGTAATTGAGATACCCCGCGGCGATAACGCAGGCGGAGAGAAATCAGGCCTCAGATGCGGTTGATGAACGTCGGTAGTGACGCCATTCAGATAAGGCTTAATGCACCTGAGCATTAACTCTTTATCTGGCTTGATCAAACTTGAACACGTTGATCCTCGCACACTGATCCTTTGCATGCCAGTGTCAAAATCTCTTTTAATCGCAGCTTCCGAAACATGGCTCGTATCTATTCTCATAGTGCCGAAGTCTCTCGGATGCGACGCAAGGGCCGATGGGTATATTCTGAGCGGCTGGGGCGACGTATCGTATGACGTCCAGGCCATTAAGCTGTAGCCTTCAATGGTTCTGAGAATCTCTTCTTGGAGGCGGCGGAACGCACGGTCTCCCTCGCCATATAGAAGCGGCATGTTGACGTCAAATATGCCTAACAGGCAATAAGCCATGTCTTCGACGCGAGTTGTTTCTCGGCTGGCAGCCCACTGCATTCTACTCCACACAGTGAACTTTGACAGGTTTTCTACGCCTTCTGACTCGAGAGCCTCTTTGTCGATCATGGTGTGTTCGTGGATGATACCCGAAAGATCACTCCTCGTCCCAAGAAAGGACCAGTCTGAAACATGAAAGTCGACTCTTTGCGGTGCAATAAGCTCTTGAAGAGTCCACCCTCGTGTAAACCATCGGCTCCTGAGGAAAGCATTCTGATCCTTTTTGATGGAGGTAACATAATTCGAGTCCAGGTCAGGAGCGAGATTCAGAAAGCCAATAAGCGGGGCGTATCTCAATGGAGGCACATCTTCAAGGTAGGCGTAGCAGATCTCAGCTTCTCTGTACCAACGGAACATGGAGTTGATGGCCTCGGATAGCTCAGAGCTTGAAGACTTGTCGATACAGCATGTGTCGATCCAGATCCAGTCAAAGCCATCACCCAGAGCGAGCGCACAAGCGCCCTTGATCTTATTCCATCCAGCTTTGATACTAGAAGCAGCCCAGTCTCCTGCTTCCGTGTCCTGGAGAATGATCTCTTCCGAGCCCCATGTATGGGAAAGAATGGCGTACTTGGGTCTTTCGCTCACAAAGTCCTTGACCTTGAGCGTCGCGGTGTTTAGCAGTCGCATGTTGACGGTAGCGAGAGCAGGGGTTGGCGCGGGGAAAGCAGGCAAGGTGAGGAAATTCGACCAGATTTCTAGGTAGTTCTCAGCCACGTGATGTATGCATCCATTTCAGCTGAGGCTGAGTTATCTGCATGTCGCAAGTGGTTGATTGGTCACAGTTGAACTTAGCATAGGATCATGGGATTGGGAGTTTTTCTATTTCAATTTTCTAGTGACCTTATTTAAGGAGCTTCAGTCGGGTCCCTATCACCTTTTGTTAGCCTCGCTTTCTTAGACACACTTCATCAAGTCATTTGATAACATACCAATCGGTCACCAAGTGCTCATCAAGCGCATCTAACACAGCAAGATCCTCCGGCGAGATTTCATACTCGGCCACGTTCGCGTTCTCAATGAGACGCTCCTGCCGCACACTTTTGGGAAGAGTAATCATTCCACGGTCCAGAGACCAGCTACAGAGGCGTTAATCAGATGCTGTGATCATATCGAAACAGGGATGATAACTCACCGAACAAACAGCTGCGCAGGAGTGCAGCCGTACTTCTTGGCCAGCTCCAGGATCTTGGGGTGCTTCATGCGCATGCCGCGGGCCAGCGGCGCGTAGGCCTCAATGGCAATGTTGTGCTTGGCGCAGGTCTCTCTGATGCGAGTCTGCGTGTTGAAGGGGTGGACCTCGATCTGGTTGATGACGGGTGCGATGCGAGGCTTCGATGCCATCAACTCTTCAATCTGTAAATCTTGTCAACGTCTCTTGAGTTCCCAAACTCAATGAATGCCCCAGCAGGACTCTCGAAAGTCTGAGCAAACTCACATGAGCTGCACCGTAGTTGCTGACACCACCCATCTTCACCTCCCCAGCATCAATCGCATCCTCAATCGCTTTCCAACTCGTCAAACGTGCCTCCTTGCCACCATACGGACTATGCAGCAAAAACAAATCAATGTACCCCAGCCCAGCAACCTGAACAGACTCCTTGATCGACTTGCGAACGGCGTCGTACGAGGTACTGCTGCTCGCCAGCTTGCTCGTGTAAAACACGTCGTCGCGCTTCAGACCCTGCGTGTTTTGAGGGCTGGCAAGGAAATCGGCAATCGCTTTACCTGATTCCGCTTCGTTGTCGTACATTTGCGCGCAGTCGAAGCCGCGGTAGCCGGCGGTCAGGGCCCATGGGATGGACTTTGTGGCTTCGCGGCCTGACATGCAGTAGAGACCCAACTGGATCTGGGGGATGGACTTGCCATTTGCGAGCTTTGGTCTGCGTTAGCTGATGTGCCCGGAGTTACGGGACTGTGGATAATATGGATGGTATCGTGATGACATTCAGGGTGAGAGGTGAGAACTCACTGTGAGGCGCGTGGCCAGAGTGTACTTGTTGGACGCCATTGTGATTGCTTTGGTCTCACTTTCGGTATCGTAGGATTGGACTTCGGAGAGATCAAAGTGAGAAGGAATCCAGAATTCACTCGGAGTTGAGGGTCGCAAGAGTTGTCGCCGACATTGCGGGCTGTACCCGCCGTGACATCACGCTGAAAAGAGGGGCGGTGGCGGGGCATCATTCCGCCCCGGTTTCGGTCTCCGAACGAACGTCTTGAAATCTCCGGCAGCCAAAATTCAACTCGGACCTGAACACAGACGCATCTCGGAAGCACACTGTCCCACCATTGGTTCCATGGAGATATTCTTGCGCTATTTCCCTGTCAAGCTCGCCCGATCCCCGAGAGGATCGTACGAGTAAGGTAGCATCAACGCCAGACCGGGCTTTTGCACCACACTTGCCCCGCGGTTTCCAACACATCCGGAGGTGATTCCGCGGCACAAACTCGAGCGCCGCCTAAAGTTTCCAGCGCTGGGTGTCACCAAAGAATAGGTATCGAGCAGACAGCACTCAACTTGCACGAACATCATGAATCGTCTATGCATTCTTCTCACGGGGTATCTAGGGTGGTTGCCTGCGACTCACTTACATCCCCTCAAAACAATCCCGCAGCTCCAACACGCAATCGCAATCTGTAAATCAAAGGTAAGTTGATGCTCAAATGCTTATGATACACCCCACGCCAAGCGAACTCAATCGTCCCACTCCTCATCCAGCTGGTCTATCAGTCGGTTCTCATCTTCACGATTGCGGCCTCTGCTCGGTGACCCAGACAGATGGCTGTATCCTCGTCTCCCGGGAAGTAGCTGTGCACAAGAAGAGGTCGCGATAATGAACATGTCCTGCAAATCATGTCAGAATCGATTCTGAGAAAAAGAGTCGCGAATACTACGTACACTGACAAAGCCCCAAATGCCAGCCCAGAGGCTGTAGTTGGGAAGCTGTCGCCAACCGCGCGCATGCGCGACAGTCCTTTGGTAGAACACGCCACCTCCAAAGTAGACGAGTACGGCAATGACAAATATGATGGCAAACACACTGCCGGGACCAACGCTACCGGGCTGGTGAGGTTCGGCTCTGGGGCACGCATGCTGGGAACGGGCCTCGAAGAAGTACGCGCAGTCATCGGGGTCTGAGCCGACAAAGGAGATATGCGCAGCTCCACCGACCTGCTCGGTATCGCAATGGAAGGAGATGGTGGCAGACTTGCGGCGCGTGGTCGAGTCTGAGTCGTCCTTGTCGGCGGTGACCTTGTTTTGGGTGTTGCCAAAGGCGCTCAGAGCCGTGGATTCCTCCTCGTCGGCGTACTTGTTGTATGACGCCCCATCATGGGCTTTGGATCGTTTCGATTTAGTCTTTCCACATGGGGAACCGTTCTTGTACTGCAGGACGAGTATGCGCCCGCGGGTCTGAATGTCCATGGATGATGACCTGAAGATCGATGTGATCAGTACTTGCGTGTCCGGTGAAGAGTTTCGTGGGATACATACCCAATGGAGTACACCTCATTCTTGTATTCGTAGAACGCGCTCACGTTCTTCGATTCGGTCTTTGTC